GGCTACCTGTCCCGCAAGCATGGCTGCTTAGCCCGGTGGGTCTACTCACCTCGAGGATCCCGGCCATCTTGCAGTACACTCACCTTGTTACAGCCACTGATCTCCATTTGCACGCTCCGCTCTATTCCCCGTTCCGGTCAGAGCCCCCCAGAATTAGCATCAGGCTGACCTCTTACCTTACAGCTGCTTTCGGGTTACGTCCTCCTGTTCGGTCAACGAACCGTGAGTTTTCCAGAAAGGGTTCATACGTATGCTATGTTTTGCCACCGCATGGCTCCCATTTTTGCGAACAAACCCCTTTCGTGTCCTTGTTCATGCCAGTACAACCGTACGTTCTGTTCTATGTGTCATGGTTATAGTTGGTGCCATTTGTTCATAGAAATTCAACCAAACTCAATTCTCTAGTTGGTATACTTGCAACCCCTAGCGACCACACTTCATTATGACAGTTGGTGTATTTCTAGTTCATAAACAATTTTGTTCACGTATATTCACTTGTTTAAATTAGACAAATTTAGTTGAATTTCTGAGAACTGCATCCTAGGTTAAGTGTTATTATTGCAAATATGTTTGCATAAAAGTACGTATTTCATATGTAGATTTCATGATTGCTAACATCCTTTTAGACAATATTAATAATGATAATTTAGCCAATTGATATTTTCACATACTGTATCAAGTGTCCACATCCCACGTTCACAGTTTACCAATACTTTCATACCATTACTTGTTCACTAAGTTAGGTATTTCTCAAATCTGTATGTATTCATCACAGTCTCATTCGACAGCCTTCACTTCACGAAATATCACTTATTGACGGTTACTCTTCCTTACACAGGGTACGTAAGTTATGTGTTATTTTGTATGATCATTATTGTCCCTATGGCTATTTCCATGGCTGCACTCCGAGGGATTCGTAGGCCCCAAAGCTCCATTGATTGATTTGCTAACAGTAACCTAAGTAGGCGGAAACCTGGTGTAACCTTTTTTTTTTTTTTTTTAGCACACTCAGGTGCAAATCATTGCAGTATATCGTATTTTCACTATGCACGTACATTTATGCATGCATAAGAATCACCACAGGGTCCCTTATTTCTGTCCATACTCTAATTTAGGTCTCTATTTCCAGTGTTACCCTTCCCTGTACTTAGGAGAATTCATTGGATTCCTTGCTCCACTCAAGTTAACATGTATGCTATGTTTCATAGTCACCTCCAGTCAGTACCTAATGTACCTGTTCATAGAGGTTAATCATTATTTTTTGTTTTCTTCAGATAGCCACTACGCTGCTACAAATAACTATCATTTGACAGGTGAGTTTTACTCACAAAAAATACCAAACAGACCAGGCCCAACTACAACCTAATCTCCCACGTGTCCTTTTTTCAGGTTCTCAAAGTATTCATCCTTGTCACTATAGAATCTTAACTCTATCTTAAGCTAGGTATGTCTCCATTTTACATCATACTTCTTTCCCATTATAGGCTAGGGTAAGTCAACTGGCTATTTAGTTACTTATATTGTCCCTAGCTTACTGTAATTAATCTACTCCCGCGAGGCCAACACCCATCCTCTCCAGAGGTTTACGCCCCTCGGCCCACCGCATAGTTAGAGCCTCACATTAGCCGCTGGCAGTTACTAGTCGAGGCTCCACCAAGTCACGCCCATGTATATTATGTCTTGTTACAAATCACCGAGAGGCCAACGTTCCTGCAACATCATTCAGTGGCCCCCCAACCACTCGGCCATCCTCATAGACAGAACTTCTCTCGTCTCTTCGCACTAGCAGGGCCTCATTTTCCTTGTAGCACAGATGATTTTTTGCCTCAGGCTTAGCTAGAGCTAGTTAACACAGGCAATCCCTCATAACTTAAGGCATCATCTCTACCCATGTTTACATTCTTAGTATGTCTAAAGTCCTAGAACAAGACAAGGTACTCACAATACTCGAGACACAAGCCAGGCCTTCCACTCCGCCCGGTCCAAACACCCCTACTATGAATCTGTAATCATCCAGCCCATATTCCATACATTTCTGGAAAATCCCTAGTTTCACGGCTGAGTTTTAAAAAATGAAGGTCCTATTCCCAGCCACAGCACGCAAAGCTGAATTGTATAGACTATACATCCCTTGTGCAAAAGAATAATAAGCGCTCTCTTCTCAGGGGTGAGCAGCAGTTCACCAACAAGGTGTTCCTCTACCTTGTGATAAATAGACAGATAAAATAGAAGTAGGGGCTGTTATATGTTGTTGGGTAGGCCTTGTGAGAAATAGGCCATAATACGGTAGTTAGTATAAGCGAATGAGTAGCCTTTAATAGTAATATAGGCTAATACTTTTTGTGAGCAGTGTCAGTTGTAGCAGAAGCTACCCGTTTATGTTTTGAAATAAGACCGTTGGTGAATTTATAGGTGTAAATATTCGTTACATGAAAAACAAGAGTAAAATACACCACATGGTATAGTACGTAAATATAAAATATTGTGAAAAAAAGTGGATGATCCTACTTACATATACTAGAGCAACGACCTGCTCTAGTTTGAAGAATTTCAGGTGGAATAATCCCCACCTTGGGATATAGTGGACCCAGGTATAGCAGCAAAGCAGTATTGGATAGGAAGGAGGACAAAAGGAATGACTGGATAGTTTAAAAAATATATATACTTTAATACAATAAGTAAAAAGTGAATAATAAACTATGAAACCAGTCCTGTTTAAAAGTCCAAAATTCTTCCTCACTTGACGCGTTTCGCCGAAGCTTTCTCAAAAGTGAATAATAAACTATGAAACCAGTCCTGTTTAAAAGTCCAAAATTCTTCCTCACTTGACGCGTTTCGCCGAAGCTTTCTCAAAAGTGAGAAAGCTTCGGCGAAACGCGTCAAGTGAGGAAGAATTTTGGACTTTTAAACAGGACTGGTTTCATAGTTTATTATTCACTTTTTACTTATTGTATTAAAGTATATATATTTTTTAAACTATCCAGTCATTCCTTTTGTCCTCCTTCCTATCCAATACTGCTTTGCTGCTATACCTGGGTCCACTATATCCCAAGGTGGGATTATTCCACCTGAAATTCTTCAAACTAGAGCAGGTCGTTGCTCTAGTATATGTAAGTAGGATCATCCACTTTTTTTTTCACAATATTTTATATTTACGTACTATACCATGTGGTGTATTTTACTCTTGTTTTTCATGTAACGAATATTTACAACTATAAATTCACCAACGGTCTTGAACCTCAAGAAATCCATAGACGGGGATTATTCCGTCCAGGCTCTTAACACCGAGCTGATATAGCTCCTCAAAGTGTGAGTGTGAATATAACATCTTTGTTCTTGTGGAATTATATCGTTCATACATACTGTACCATTATTTGTATTTTTGTTTCTCTTTTTTTTTAAGTTACTCTGCTGGCCAGTATTTCTACAAAACGTATGTACATTTTCTGATTTTTAGCGCTGTTCACCTTTCTATTTTATCTATACATCCCTTGTACCTGTACTCCCCAGCCAGGAGTTGTGCTACAATCAGAAATTATTCTGTAATCAAGGGTTTAATGTTTGATTCAATTAACACCATCAGTACTAGACTGGAGAATTTGGAATCTCCCCAGCCATCGACAGCTGACCCACTCATAGAGATTCCCACCCCAGCTCCCTCTCAAGGTAATGACACCACCATTGACCCAACACCTAGCACTTCCGCTCACATCATCACGCCCTCCCACTTTGTGCCCCCAAGCATATGCAAAGACATCATGGAAGGCAAGGACGTAAACCTAGTCTCCTAGCTCATCGCCTCTAAGAATGTAGTAGAAAAAAAAACATACTGCTATAGTGACCTTTATTTCATTTTGAAAGCCAGAGACCCCAGACTCAACCACAAACTCCTTGGTTTTTTCACCACTCCCTGCCACAGGTGCCTCATCCCAGGGCCCTATTTAGCCTTGTACTGCAGAGAACTCAAGATGGATTTTTTTCCCCAAGTAAGTAGCTCATTTAGCAGACATTTGGCTGTTAGAGTAGGACCTACCAAAGATGGGGTACATTGACGTTGTGGCAGGCTTATGCAATGTATGATCATATAATGTAATCAAAACCCCATTTTTGCTGCCTAGATTAGGTGTTTGTAAAAACTAACAAAATCTGTCAGCACCAAAGTTGCTGTTTAGTAGATAAGGGAGTGCGTTGGATTTCTTTTTTTTTATCAACCACAAACTTATCATCCACAAATTTGTCCTGACCGTTCGTCTGTACTGTGACGTAATCTGCTCCATTGCACCTCACCATAGGGAAGAGCTTTATTTGTACATGCATAGGTTGGGGGACCTGGGGCACAAGTACAAGTATTTCCTTTTATATATATATATATATATATATATATATATATATATATATATATATATAACACACACAAAGCTACCCAGCCAAACACCTGAAAGTTTTTGTATTTTTTTTTAAATTAATATGTTTAATTATAATATTCCACTTGCTATATAGACAAAATGTGAACAACTAGGGTGACTGGAGTAGAAAATTGCCTACAAATTGACCTTGTTCATTAAATGTCAAATATTTATATAGGTTACTTCCAGATCAGCTACTTTGGATACATTTTGACATTGGTTGTCCGCTCACCCATGCTCACTGTTTATTAAACAAGGTCCCTATTCTGAAGTTACCACCAATGGCTCTCCTTCTGATGCTGAACTACAATTCCCAATGATCCACTCAATGATACGATAGTGAGATTTATAGTTTTACAAATTACTTCTAATGCAATGCAGCTCATCCAGATTTAAGATTCCATGGTAAACTTGATTCAAAGCAGAACACTGAGTTTCGAAATATGATAGTTGATACAATCAAGTAGATTAAGCATTTAATTCAGAGTTAAATGTATCAATTGGACACAATTATATCACACTGTAATATTTGTACTTGAAATAAACGATAAAATATGAGCCACAAAACTTATACTCAATTTTATATTTTTCAAGTTCTGGAATGGAGACCAAGAATCCAACATGAGCAGCCTGAGTTTTCCAGAAAGGTTCCCCGGGATCTTGGAAAGACAAGTAATGATAAACCAAACCCGCTACAGGAAGCCAGACAGAAAGAGAATAAGAAACTTAGGAGAAGAATATATAGAGATGTCATCACTGAGCTAGAGTCAAGTCACAACGAGAAAACTCTCACAACAAGCAGAAATGATGAAGAAATAGAAAACGTTGCACAAAACAGACACAGGTATTCAGTAATATACAAAGACAAAATTAAAGATGTCTTTAGAGAAATTAATAATGAAAACAGGAAAATGGATGCATTGTTTGAAGGAAGTGGGTCTGGAACAACAGAAACACCCACTGATACAACAACAGTGAGATTTACAGTAACAAATGATTCAACTACAGAAGGAGACATTGATACAACACTAGCAACATCCACTGGTCCATATACAACATCAAAAGTATCTACAGAAACTGCTTCACAAACGATGAGCCATCCAGTCACCAGTACTTCACCCGCAGAAACCACAGCACTTACAACTACCACTCCCCCATCTCCCACCATCTCAGCAACCACTGCAGGTATTCAGTGCTATCTGCTATTTATCTATCTACATAACTATCTACATACATACAGGACTGCCATACAAAATTTTGACCCTAACCCTGAGTCTGTCCACAGGACACACACCTAAGTCCACCCACAATGATGCAGTGGAAACACACCTGATTCCACCCACAATGATGCAGTGGAAACACACCTAAGTCCACCCACAATGATGCAGTGGAAACACACCTAAGTCCACCCACAATGATGCAGTGGAAACACACCTAAGTCCACCCACAATGATGCAGTGGACAATGTATAAGGGATGTAGTGTGTGTAGTGGATGCAGAGTATATATGTGTAGTGGATGCCACATGTGTGTATAGTGGATGAAGTGTGTGTAGTGGATGCAGTATGTGTGTGTTTATTGGATGCAGTATGTATGTGTGTGTACTGAATGCAGCTTGTGGGTAGTGAATGCAATGTGTGTTGTGGCTGTAGACACATGTGTAAATTTGTGAGTAGGAAAGATAGGGGGTGTGTATTGTAGGTAGTGAACAGGTTTTTTTTTTTTATATATATATATTTTTCTCATCTCCCTGTCTCTAACCTGTGGCAAGGGAGCAGGAATACATGATTCCCTAATGGTCTGGGGGCACTGCAACTGGCAGGTCCTCTTCTTCTCTCACAAGCCCGGCATTAGTGCTGTGTCAGAGGGTTGCTGTGGTAAACAGAGACAACGTCTGGCATCTGGGATTTGAGAGAGTTGGAGAGCATCTGCAGGAGAGGAAAATTGTAGTCTAATGGACACCTCTTAACTATACTAGTCAGCTGTGGCCCAGAGTAGCAATATATATGTATATGTATATATATATATATATATATATATGAATATATATGTAAAGTGCTGCAGAATTTGTTGGCGCTATATAAATAAAAATAATAATAATAATAAAATAATAATAATAATAATAATAATATTTGCTCACTATATATATGTACATAGCCCTGGCACCTTACATCTGTATTGGCTCTACCCCCTAATGGTGGCCCTGTATACGTATACCGTAAGACTAACATTTAAGTATATCTAAACTGTTAAATAAATAAATGTCTCCAGAACCCAACAAAAATTTTCCCTAATACATGTTTTAGTAATATTTAGTGCCTGGATAATATTTTAGATATTACATTTGGGTTAGATGATATAGGGTTGAGAGTTAATTAGTGTTTTTTAAGAGGTTGAGATAGGTTTCTTTAACTCCTTCACTACCAAATAATTGTTATTTAAAAAAAAAAAAAACATTATCATGATGGATTGATGAAGTTCATCAATGTCTGGATATTGCCATTAAGGCCCTGAACTTGCCAAATTTGCTCTGGATTTGAGCTGGTCTGATCTCCACTCGTTGGTTGAAATCAAGGCCAAAATGCAGCAAATCCTGACTCAGAAAAATCCAATCCAAACTCGAATAAAAGAAAAAAAAATGAACACTATATGCCTGCTGGCGGAGCCAGCAGCCAGTGGGCAAATCGTTAAAATCCCTTAGCGGCACAAGGGTTACTTATGAGGTGGCCTGCCTGGCATTAAAAAGGTTAAAAAAAATAATTATTATTAAAAACCCTGTAAGAGTCAATAATCCAGATAGGGGCATGTATACTAAACATTAAAAACTAGACAAATGCACCCAATGCTGCCCAGTTTCTAGTGAATGCCCCATCCTGTGCCCTCACCTTGGGGCTACTTTAAATTTTAAGGGGGGGACCTATTGCCTCCCCTAGCCCCCACCCATCAACCCTAATACATAAAAAAAAATAGGGGGAGGAGGGGTGAGGGGTAGGGTCTCCTTCCCTCACCCATGTAGGCAGAGGGGGATCCTAATATGTATAATAAGGGGGGCCTATTGTCCCTTCCCATGGCCCCCATCCATGCTGGCACCCAAGTTGCCCTAATTAATTACAAAGTATGGAGACTGGACATGCTATTGTCCAACCCCCAAAGAAGAATAAGTTCCTCCTATTCATGGTCCAAAGTCTCATAACGACTTTCTTATATAAATTCTCTACTTATCCCCCTTAACCATAATAATAGTGAGAAAGGGACCAAAAAAAAATGTCAAACCTGTAATTATTCTTTTCTTTAGCCCCCAATGCCACTAATTAAAATAAAACATTTCGAATTCACAAAAAAACAGAAAAAATAAAACTACAAACTACAAAACTGAATCCATCTTCAACCATGAATGTCTCATCGCAGAATGAGCACTCCTAGCAGGGATAGCCCTATTCTAGGCTTCCCATGTTATGACAGGTATCAAAAAGTGTTGGAAAATTTCAGACCGTCCGAATCTTTACTCCAAATGGCTTTAATAAATATTACAATTTCCAATGTAGTCAGCCTTTAGTCATTTTCACTGGATTTTGTCACTGGATCTTGCGACCAAGCCCAATGTTTAATGAATAGTCATGTCCCGAACAGTTTGCCGAACGGTTCGCCGCGGACGGCTAACATATGACCCTGTACCTCACAGTCAGCAGACACATTCCAGCCAATCAGCAGCAGACCCTCACACCTCCTGGACAGCTCACTAAGAATGCAGCTTCAAAATGGATGCTGTCCAGGAGGTGGAAGGGTCTGGGAGGGAGGGTCTACTGCTGATTGGCTGGAATGTGTCTGCTGACTGTGAGGTACAGGGTCATCTGTTAGACGTCCATGGCGAACCGTTCGGCGAACCGTTCGGCGAACCGTTCGGGACATCACTATTAATGAATAATGCTGATAATCTGCCATTTTACGCATAGCCGAGTTTCTCATCTTTTGAGCCCTCTCGATGTGGATTCAATTATCCAAGCATTAGCTGAGCAGTCAAATATTCTCAGACGAAATCCCTCCCAAATATTCTCACTAGAAATCTCTGTCCCTATTCCTTTCTTAATATTTTGCTATCTTCTGTAAGCATTTTAATTCACAGCACGTTTTATGTTTTATTTTTAGGTTTTTGTCGCAATGGAGGTACCTTTACTGAAAATAAATGCATTTGTCTGGATCAGTTTTATGGGACC